ATTGCACTTTCAAGTTTCAACATCAGTTAGGACAACAATAATTTCCACTTTGAGCCTTACCACGCAATGTGTAGCTTTCCCAAGTGACATTTTCGCCATATTTTCAGGCTGTGATATCGACATGATGGTAGATGAAGCAACTAACCTGTAAACTCGGTTGTTATTACAAGTGTGCAACAGAATGCTTCACGCCTCTCACTGCATCATGAATCCGTACATCTTTGTCATTCTTAAGTGCTCCTTAAGCCAGCTGGAAACTAGGAAGTTTTCAGAGGTGCATGTGCGATACAAACACTTAAAAACAGTTGAATCTGAGCACATGAAAATAACCAGAACACCATGAATTCGTCTATTGCATGTGCGATACAAACACTTAAAAACAGTTGAACCTGAGCACATGAAAATAACCAGAACACCATGAGTTCGTCTATTGCATGTGCGATACAAACACTTAAAAACAGTTGAATCTGACCACATGAAAATAACCAGAACACCATGAATTAGTCTATCTCTGTCATTCTTAACTATTTCTCAAGCAAGTTGCAGGGCAGGAAACTTCCGGCTTGTGTCGAAGAATACTTGAAACTAGCTGTATTTTAAGCACAAGAAAAACACATAGATCATGACTGGCCAAAACTTATTCCGATACTACCAAGTTAAAAATCAGGGGGTGTATTTGGACGTATTGGAAACTAGTTGCGTACTTTGAATGACAACAATGCTGTGAACGCCATAAAGTCTTGTTGACAAAAGGACATTTAGATCACCATGGTATCTAATTTAAGCATGTATGTTCCACGAAAGGACCACAAAATACAGTGCTTATCCTAGCCTATCATTTCCTTTGAATGGGCCAAGGTACAAGGCTGAAACCAAGCAAAAGAAAACAAGCACACTGGAATGAGGTAAAATATCAGTGTTTACGGTTTAGTTATTCAGTTAGATGCCAATGGTTGTACTGCAAGGGTAAATATCACATTAAAGATATAAGCATGGACAGAAATTGCTTGAAGTAAAGATAATCATCAAGTACCAAACCAGGCTTACAAGTAATGCAAATGGCAGCAGCAAGAAAGCAATATTTGGCTCATCCCAAAGGTCAGCTGAATTTGATTGGTACTATTATGATAATCGAACAAAGCAAAACCTATATGATGATGTCTAAACTGCTTCAGCAACTGCGTAAGGGGGGCATCACAAGATGTCATTCAATTGTCTATAGTTTTGCAAATCTCACTTCTTGATTCGGAGACTTGCCATATTATAATCATGATAGAAGCACTAGTAGAGATATTCTAGATGACCTCATACATAGAGAGCATCCCTCTTTATTGGTTTGTGATTGTAACTTTGCTTTCTTAGGCACCAACGCAACATCAGCAGATCTCACAAACATCAGATCAGCTTCCAACCATTCATCTACCTTTACGTTCCATCGCAGTAAAAAAACTAATTAGCAGTGTAACCGATGGGATTCCCCATTCAAAGACCTCTAAACAAGAAGCAACCAGAAGAACAGCCGGATCAGAGAAAAGATATCCCCAACTAGGAACCTGTTAGCAGCATCTATCAGTAGCAGTAAAAATGGAAAAGGACAGTTAAATGGCACAACAAAGCAAAAATTTACAGAGGCTATGTAGCTTAAAACATAACAAAAAATCAACTCTAGTTAAGATGCCACCTCATTTGTTGTTTTCAGGGTAGTCCAAGTTACAGTATATCAAAGAATGTTTGATGTTGCATAGCTTGTGTCTGTTATATAAAAAAAAACTGAGTCCCATGTTTTACCGTTGGTAAAACAGTGGGAGAAGATAGATTAGACCCATAGCAAAAGGATGATACAATGAAGGAAAAGGTGAACAAACAACTCCCATGACAGATAAACTATCAAGTTAAGAACTTAAACAGAGGCAAACGATCGGTTAAAAATGAACCAAGAGGAAAGGGTTGATTCATTACAACTGGACAAAATTCTGCTGCTGTGTTTCAAACTGTCCATGCATGGCCCTAAGAACCATATTATTCAAAACATAATAGAAATATTGGTAAAAAAATATTCTGGACGCCTGCCTACATAGAGAACATTACCAGGCCCCTTTATTTGTTGGTGATTGCAACTTTGCTTTCTTAGGCACTGACTCAGACATCAGCAGATCTCACACACATTAACATCATTTTCCATCCATTCATTTACGTTATCGTTCCACCACAGTAAAAAAATAATTAGGACTGTAACAACAAGAACAGCAGTATCAGAGGGAAGATATCCCAAACTAGAAACCTGCTAGTAGCATCTAGTAGCAAACAGTGCAGTGAGCGCGATAAAGTCTTGTTGACAAAAGGATATTTAGATCAGTAGATCACCATAGTGTCTAATTTGATGGCGTTCCTTACACAAATGGACCAAAAAATACAGCACTTATTCTAGCCTATCTTTTCCTTTGAATGGACCAAAGTACAAGGCTGAAACTGAGCAAAAGAAAACAAGCAACCTGGAATTCGAAAAAAAATAGAAGTGTTTCAGGTTAACCGTTCAGCTAGAAGCCAATGGGTGTACTTGAATGGTAAATATCATCGCAATGCTATAAGCATGAACATAAATTGCTTAAAGAAAAGACATTCATCAAATATCATAAAAAGACTTGCAAGTAATGCAAATGGCAGCAACAAGAAAGCAATATTTGGTCCATCCAAAAGATCAGCTGTATTTGGTTGGTGCTATTACGACAATCAAACAAAGTAAATCCTATATGCCGATGTTTAAACTGCTTAAGCAATTGGGTAAGGGTGGCATCAAAAGACGTCATTCACTTGTCTGTAGTTTTGCTAATATCACTTCTTGGTACGGAGGCTTGCCATATTATAATCAGGAAAGAAGCATTGGTAAAGGTGTTCTGGATGACCTAATACATGGAGAATCCAAGGTCCCTTTATTGATTTGTGATTGTAACTTATCTTAGGGACCAACGCAACATCAGCAGATCTCACAAACATCACATCAGCTTCCAACCATTCATCTACATTTAGGTTTCATCGTGGTAAAAGATTAATTAGCAGTGTAATCGGTGGGATTCCCCATCCAAAAAACTCTCAACAAGCAACCAGAAGAACAGCAGGGTCGGAGAGAAGATATACCTAACTAGGAACCTGTTGGTAGCATCTACTGACGAATATTAGAAGTGGAAATGTAAACATAACAAAGTTCAACTCTAGGTTTACAGGACAATGCCAAAGTTTTACAGAAGCTATGTACCTTAAAACATACCAAAAGTTCAGCCCTAGTTCAAGAATTTTGGTACAACAGCATAGTAAGAAGCCATCTTAATCGATTTCAGGGTAATCCAAGCTACAGAATATCAAAGAATGTTTCCTGTTGCATGTTTTGTATTCATTGTAAAACAAACCAAGTTCCATGTTTTACTTAGTCAGTCCTTGTCTGCGGTTGGTAAAACAGAGGGGAGAAGATAAACCCATAGCAAAAAGATGGTACAACGAAGGAAAGGGTGAACAAACAACTCACTTGACAGATAAACAATCAAGATAAGAAGGTAAATAGAGGCACAGATCAGTTAAAAATGAACCAACAAGAAGGTAAACATCTGCTGCTACGTTTCGAACTATCAATGTGTAACCTAAGAACCTTCATTAAAATCTTATCATAATAGAACTATTGACAACAATATTCTTGACGCCCTCATAGGCTCATACATAGAGAACATTACCAGGCCCCTTTATTGGTTGGTAACTGCAACCTTGCTTTCTTAGGCACAACCTGACATCAGCAGATCTCACACACATAAACAGGATTCCCCATCCACAGAATTATCAAGAAGCAACCAGAAGAATAGCAGGGTCAGAGCGAAGATATCCCCAACTGGGAACCTGCTAGTAGCATCTACTAGCAAACAGTAATAATGAACACGGCAACATACAGTTGATGGCATGACAAGGGCAATATAATGCTGCGGTGACATAACAAGAATTCCAATTCGGTTCAAGAAATTTGATGTCAACAGCTACAGTAAGACAAACTTCAATTGTTGCTATAGGGTAGTGGAAGTTTCGGTTTATCAAAAAATGTTTGGTGTTGCATATGTTTATTTATGCTAAGGAATCTTACTTCCATGATCTAATGTGTCAGTGCTGGTCTGCTATTGGTAAAATAGAGGAAAGATACAACCATTGCAAAATGATGGCACAATGAGCGCCACGACCCTCTCCGCCGAGCCAGACCGCCTCTCCTGGAGGTGGAGCGCCAGCGGCGTCTACTCCGCCAAATCGGCCTACCTCGCCACCTTTTGACATCGGGCTGCGGCGCATGGAAGCTCACCTGGAAGAACTGGGCACCCCCGCGCGTCCGATTCTTCCACTGGCTCGCCCGCCTGGACCGATGTTGGACAGCCGACCGCCTCGCCCGCCGCGGCCTGCAGCACCCCGCGCGATGCCTCCTCTGCGACCAGGCCCCCAAGACCATGCACCACCTCACCCTTGCCTGCCCTTTCGCCAGGCAGATCTGGCATGAGGTACTGCACTGGCTCAGACTCCCCTGCGCCCCGCCCGACAGCGAGACCTCCCTCAATGACTGGTGACGCACGGCGTGACAGGACACCCCAATGCCCATGTGCAAGGGCCTCGCCTCCGCGACCCTCCTCGTCCCATGGATGATATGGAAGCACCGCAACAACTGCGTCTTCAACAGAGGCCGGCCCTCGACGACCGACCTGCTCACGAAGATCAAAGACGAGGCCGCCCTCTGGGCCAGAGCCAGCGCCCTAGGGCTTCGCGCCATCTTGCCGCAAACCTGGGATGTGCACTGATATGCCTCCAGGCACTGTAATTCCCTCCTAGGAGGATTGTAACCAGAACTTCCTTTCTTTCCAAAGCAATGAAATGCAAGCTCTTCTTGCGTTTTCTCGAAAAAAATGATGGCACAATGAAGGAAAAGGTGAACAAACTATCAGAGAAAAGATATCCCCAACTAGGAACCTGTTAGCAGCATCTATCAGTAGCAGTAAACATGGAAAAGGACAATTAAATGGCACAACAAAGCAAAGTTTTACAGAGGCTGTGTAGCTTAAAATATAACAAAAAATCAACTCTAGTTAAGATGCTGTTCCATTTGTTGTTTCCAGAGTAGTCCAAGTTACAGTATATCAAAGAATGTTTCATGTTGCATATTTTGTGTTTGTTATAAAAAAACTGAGCTCCATGTTTTACCGCATCAGTCCTTGTCTGCCGTTGGTAAAACAGTGGGGAGAAGATAGACCCATAGCAAAAGGATGGTACAATGAAGGAAAAGGTGAACAAACAACCCCCTTGACAGATAAAATATTGAGTTAAGAAAAACAGAGGCAATCGATCAGTTAAAAATGAACCAGCAGGAAAGGATTGATTCATTAGAATTGGCTAAGCTTCTGCTGCTGTGTTTCCAACTGTCCATGCATGACTCTAAGAATCATATTATTCAAAACATAATAGAACTATTGACAACAATATTCTGGACGCCCGCATACATAGAGACCATTACCAGACCCCTTTATTGGTTGGTGATTGTAACTTTGCTTTCTTAGGCACCGACTCAGACATCAGCAGATCTCACACACATAGACATCGTTGTCCATCCATTCATTTACGTTAACGTTCCGCTGCAGTAAAAAATACTTAGGACTGCAACCACAAGAACAGCAAACCAGAGCAGAGATATCCCCAACTCGAAACCGGCTAGTAGCATCTAGTAGCAAACAGTGCAGTGAACGCAATAAAGTCTTGTTGACAAAAGGATATTTAGATCACTAGATCACCGTAGTATATAATTTGATGGCGTACCATGCACAAAAGGACCACAAAATACAGTACTTATTCTAGCCCATCTTTTCCTTTGAATGGACCAAAGTACAAGGCTGAAATTGAGCAAAAGAAAACAAGCAACCTGGAATTCGATAAAATTACAGTATTTAAGGGTAAGCGTTTCAGTTAGAAGCCAATGGGTGTACTTGAATGTTAAATATTTCCGTAGTGCTATAAGCATGGACATAAATTGCTTAAAGAGAAGACGTACCAAAAAAGCTTACAATTGATGCAAATGGCAGCAGCACGAAAGCAAAATTTGGCCCATCCAAAAGATCAATTGTATTTGGTCAGCTGTATTTGATTAGTACTATTACAATAATCGAACAAAGCAAATCCTATATGCCGATGTTTAAACTGCTTAAGCAATTGGGTAAGGGTGGCATCAGTGCATCACAAGACGTCGTTCACTTGCCTGTGGTTTTGCAAATCTCATTTTTTGATACAGAGACTTGCCATATTATAATCATGATAGAAGCATTGGTAAAGGCATCCTGGACGACCTAATACAGGAAACATTCCCAGGCCTCTTTATTGGTTTGTGATTGTAACTTATCTTAGGCACCAACGCAACATCAGCAGATCTCACAAACATCACATCAGCTTCCAACCATTCATCTACCTTTTATGTTCCATCGCGGTAAAAAATTAATTAGCAGTGTAATCGATGGGATTCCCTGTCCAAAGAGCTCTCAACAAGAAGCAACCAGAAGAACAGCAGGGTCCGGGAGAAGATATACCCAACCAGGAACCTGTTAGTAGCATCTAGATGAATATTAGTAGTGGAAATGTAAACATAACAAATGTTCAACTCTAGTTTTATAGGACAAGGCCAAAGTTTTACAGAAGCTATGTAGCTTAAAACATAACAAAAGTTCAACTCTAGTTCAAGAATTTTGGCACAACAGCTATAGTAAGATTCCATCTTAATTGATTTCAGGGTAGTCTAAGTTACAGTATATCAAAGAATGTTTCCTGTTGCATGTTCTGTGTTCGTTATAAAAAAACCGAGTTCCATGTTTTACTCTGTCAGTCCTCTGAGGTTGGTAAAACAGAGGGGAGAAGATAGACCCATAGCAAACAGATGGTATAACAAAGGAAAGGGTGAACAAACAACTCCCTTGACAGATAAACAATCAAGATAAGAACATAAATACAGGCACAGATCAGTCAAAAATGAACCAACAACAAAGGTTTACATTACAACTGGGTAAACTTCTGCTACTATGTTTCGAACTATCAATGTGTGGACATAAGAACCGTATCATTAAAATCTTATCATAATAGAACTATTGACAACAATATTCTGGACGCCCTCACAGGCTCATACTAGTACATAGAGAACATTACCAGGCCCCTTTATTGGTTGGTGACTGCAACCTTGCTTTCTTAGGCACCAACCCGACATCAGCAGATCTCACACACATAAACAGGATTCCCCATCCACAGAATTATCAAGAAGAAGCAACCAGAAGAATAGCAGGGTCAGAGCGAAGATATCCCCAACTGGGAACCTGCTAGTACCATCTACTAGAAAACAGTAATAGTGAACACGGCAACATACAGTTGATGGCATGAGCAAAATAATGCTGCAGTGTGCAGATACAGAAGCTGAGTAGCTTACAAACATAGCAAGAATTCCAATTCGGTTCAAGAAATTTGGTGGCAACAGCTATACTAAGACAACACTTCAATTGTTGCTAGGGTAGTCAGTCAAAGTTTCGGTTTATCAAAGAATGTTTGGTGTTACATATTTTAATTAATGCTACGGAATCTTACTTCCATGTTTTAATGTGCCAGTGCTGGTCTGCTATTGGTAAAATAGAGGACATAAGATATAACCATTGCAAAAAGATGGTACCATGAAGGAAAAGGTGAACAAACAACTCCCTTGACGGATAAAAAAATCAAGACAGTAGACAAGAGCATAGACAGAGGCAATAAATCTATTCAAAATGAACCAAAAGAAAAGGGTTGGGTAAACTTCAGCTGCTATGTTTGGACTGTCAATGTATGCTCCTAAAAGGTAGGGCACTTGGTTCCAGGTGCCATGACCCTTGTGGTATATCACGCTCTCTGATTTCAATGACAACAAAAGCAGGAACTCGATGGGAAAAGCTGAGCATTTCAGACTTCGAAATCCACCTTGTCAAATGGAAACCTTCCAGTAATGCTCTCTGGAAAAATGATAAACAGCCTTTTACGCGAGTCAAGCTGCACACATTAACTCCATTCTCATCAGTGTAATCTGAGAGGATCTCAACCATGCGAGGTTCACATTTGTCAATATCAGTGCTATTTAAGGTAATCTTCCAATTTTTGTACATTGCCCATATTTCCCCTTTCTTCGGGAAGATTCGATAGAAAGACTTCTTTGAGCTCCAGTCACACTGTACAGGATGAGAGAAAGCTGATATGTCCTTGTAAGTAGTTCCAGTACCAGCTCGAAATACCCCACAAGCAACCGGTAAGCCATCTTCGACCCACCGTATTTCTTCGTTAAGCATTGGATGTGGTTCCAACTTCAACACAAAAATTGTAGCATCTGAAACCACATGGATTATTCTGACATAAGACCTAGGCATCCGATCCCGAGCATCGTACACAGCCCAGATCTGCCCCTCCATAAAATCTTCAGGTGACAACTTGTTATTGTAGTTCATCACTCCTTGCTGGGAAATACCTGAACCCAAATTGCTAGTTGAAGCACTGGAGAATTGCGCCATAGCAGCTTCATGAAAGCCATTTGTATCACTATCCAAACCTGAAAGTGGGGACAGAGGAGTCACACTTGCCAATGTATTTTGATGCCGCAGATTTTCTGGTACAATAGAATGTTCAAGCTCCAGGACTGTTCCAGCCTCATGAGTAAACCTAAACAAAGGGATCCTGTGAGAAAACATGAGCAGATTGTCACTGCAGACTTGTAATACCTGCTCCCTCCCACTCCTCATGTACCTCTGGAAAACGCTTCTAAATCCACCTACCTTTACCAAGGGCGCAACTGTACAGCCTGATTCTTCTGAATAACTGGTAAGAATTTCTACAACAGAAAAGGCACTCTTCTTCCGCATTTCAGGATTATTGCACCACCCAATGTCCCAATCACTGTAGATGGCCCATACTTCTCCTAGCCGGGGAAATACTTCAAGTTGCTGATTTAGAGTATCACGAGATATTTCATGGGAGAACATACTTATAGAAGATAGCGATATTTGCCGTTCTTCCACAATGAAGGTTCCACAGACGAACGGCAAGCTTGCACTTAACCAGTTCTTCTCTTCATGAGATTGCGGGCATGGTTTGAACCATGATACATATAACTGCATCTTATCTGTCAAAACTTCATTTATCCGTGCATATCTGCGAGGAAACTTCTCCCAGTCATACCCTGCCCAGATCTGGCCAGTAGCAAATTGCTGTATCAACCTGTCCTCCTCAAAGTTATGATAGTCATACTGTTGACTAGAGCAGGGGTCATCTTGCATGGCATCTGAGAGATCAGCAAAGCAGCCATCGGGATCTTCCTCCGACGAGGACACAGAATACACGTCCTTCTCCCATACACTCTTCAGCTTCTTGTCTGCATGGTTTTCCTCATGCAACCAGAACTCGCCATCATCACCTGGAAAGCAATGGTCGGTCCTCTTGGTTTTGGAAGAACTAGCCAAGTTTGAACAATTTCCTGCATCCAGAAATGGTCGGTCAATCTGCCGAACATTCTTCGTGTCCACGCTTTTTACTCTATGCAGGTCAGGATTTGTGCCGAGAGGAGTTGCTGACCCATCGACATGCATCCGTTCGGTCAGCGAAATGGAGTCACGCCGCAAGTCAGCGTGAGCACTGCTGAACGCACCTACTGCCATCTGCTTGACCGAACACCCCGCCGTGTTGCTCGAGTCGAAGCTGGCCCTCTTGGCCGGGTCGGACAGCACCTTGTAGGCTTCGTCGACGAGGCGGAGCGCCAGGTCGGCGCCGGGGAGGGCGTCCCTGACGGGCTCCAGCTGGGCCAGGAGGGCCCTGTGCCGCGCCTCGATGGCGGCGGCGCCGTCCCCAGGAAGGACCTGGAGGGCCCGGTACCAGTGCGGCGGGCGGCCGGCGGGGGCGGCGCAGAGGACCTCGAGCACGGCGAGCATCTCGACAGCGCCGTCGAGGCCGGGGTTGGTCTGCAGCGTCTCCAGCAGCAGCGTCCTGGCGCCGGTGTAGTCCCCGCCCCGCATCCTCGCCGCGATTGCCTCCCGCGCCGCCTCGCCGTCCCCATCCTCCATCCTGCAGCCAGGAATCCTCGTCAGAACCGAATTCGATCCCCGCACTCGATCCCCATGCGATACAGGGGTGGGAAGCTCACCTGCCGCGCCGAACGGCCGGGGCGGGGGGCGAATTCGAAACGAGGGATCCCTGAACCCTAGTGCGGCGGCGACTTCCGCCGAGATTTGGTGTTTGACTCTTCGGCGCTGCTACGGCGAGCGCAGCGACTTCCCAAGTGGCGGTGCTCCCGCTCGAGCTCTACAACTTCACTCTGTGGCCTACGGTGTGGCCGCGACCCCACCTCTCCCCTCGTGGGCCAGGCCTCCCCAGGGGGAGAAGCGAATGGGCTGGCAGTTCGGAATGCTTGTTTGTACAGACAGACTCTGGGCCTAATAGGCAGAAACACGAATGGCCCGGCAGAGGGAAAGGAGGTCCAGTCGCTCAGAAAATAAGAAAAACTCACGCACGGGACGAGATTTTTTTTTTCTTCTATATAAAAAGAAAAATACCCTATAGTTAGGGTTTCCATCCTCCGTCGGCGATCTTAGCACCGACAAGAGTTTTTCCCAAGTGGTTTTCTTACCAGATCGTCGCTTGCTACGCGGGTGTCAAGGAAGACGTGAGGCTTTATGCGGGGGATCGTGTTGTTAGGCCTCGTTCGGATCTTCTCCACGGGCCAGCTTCCCAAAACAGGTGCGTGAAGCCACTCCGAATGCCCCAGCTTCTCGAAGCTGGCTTCCCGGAGACAAGAATTGGCCCGTGTAATTTCCGCGGAGACGAGGAGCAGCGGAAGCCCCGCTTCACAAAAACGAGAAGGTGAAGTTCGTCAAAATTACGTGGGTATGCCACCGCTAAGTTGCGTACCGGTTCGATCTGTTTTCTCCCCAGCTCCCGCACGAACAAGGCAGCAGACGTGGACGCATCAGGGTCATCCACAACGAACCGGGCCTGCAGCCCATGTGACCATCTAAGTTCCCTAACGGGCCATCTTCCTATAGCCCAGCACCAGCCCATGCAGCGTGGAGAGAAACTGGCCACAGCCTGCCGAACACATGCTACTCCTGGCGAGAAGCTGGAAGCTGGCGAGAGAAGCAGGAGACGAGAATTTCCTGAAGCTGGAGAGCTTCCGAACGGGCCCTTAGTCCTGAAACCCAATATGGTGGTTGAGGCTTCAGGTTTGTCACGGCCAAAGAACAGGGGTGCAAGTTTATCTGTAGGAGATGTTGAAGCATATGAACTTGTAGGATGAAGAGTGGATGATGACGCCGTGAGTGAAAGGATCAATGTGGTTGACTAGAGGGGGTGAATAGGCAATTACCAATTTTTAGTTTTTCTTAACAAATTAGGTTAAGGATGCAATTGGAATCTTGGGTTTCTTTTTCGGCTATAAATGTTTACACGTGTATCTTACCAGGCTCCAGCAAAATCCGGTTGTATTTCTTTTTTGGTTGTAATCACTGCTTGGCTGCCGGTTGTAATACACTCATCATCACCAAGCAAGACGACCACGTCACCAAGGAGGAGCACCCCTGCCACCGCCGACTGACCGAGGAAGAGACGGGGAGGGGGAGCAGAGGAGGAGGGAGGATACATTGGTCGAGCAAAGGAGGCCACTTAGAGGAGGCGAAGCGATTCGCCATCGCGGTCGGGACTGCCGGTCAGGGTCGCCGTCGCGGTAAGGAGCGAGTCGCCGCCGTCGTCGCGCCTAACCCCCGTCGGGGTCAACATCGGCGACGTCTCACCACGTCGTCGTCGCGAACACCAACGCTTCACCCACTCAGGGAGGCTGGCGCCAGCGCCTCCCGGCGGTGCAGTCTCGTTCTAGGTCTCAAGCGAGAGCGAGGTGGGGAAAAACGATGGGCGCTGGTCTATATCAGATATTGGCCCATTACGGCTGTAATATGGAAAACACGTGTAAAAATTACGGTCTGAAACGACGAACCAATCGGCTAATTGAAAGGGGCCCGGTTTTTTGTTACGGGAGAGTATTTTACAGGTGTATACGGTTGTAAAACGACGTTCCAAGCGGGGCCTAAGCAACAAATAGGTTGTCTATATATGGATCTAGGCGAGCAACCTATATGATGCTAGCAACAACAACAACACAAGCAAGCAAGCAAAGGATACAACACAAGTAAAGCTTACACAAAGTTTTTCTTTTGAAACGCGGTCCCTTAGGGCCCGATTCATTAAAAAAGGTAGAAGAGAGTTGTCCGGTTAATTAACAGAAAACCGGACGAAAACCGATACAACACACCCCCAACGGGGCACCATCAACACACGCTGACCCCGAGGCAGCGCAACAGGCGAGCCGCCGGCTCCGCCACCCAAGCAATCCGAAGCTGACACCCTACAACCAAAACCGAAGTCGCCGCTCCGGCATCCACGCCGACCCCAATGCGTCAGCTTCGTCACCCGAGCAATCGGAGCCGACACCCAACAAGCATATCTAAAGTCACCGCTCCAACATCCATACCAACCCGCAAGGCCGCGCACCAGGCTGGCCAACGACACAGCCACCCACGTGACCAGTGTCGGCACCCCTCCATGACAACGAGATCCGGAGCCCATCGCTCCGACTTCCATGCCGGACCCGAGGCCGCACCACCCGAGCCAGTGGCTCTCAAGCCTAGACCACTCCAAAACGATGCCTCCAAGAAGGTCAACGACATCAAAGCGCCGCCATCGTCCGCTTCATGAATGGAATAAGGGTTTCCCCCGGAGTGCAAGAGGGGAGGGCGTAGGAACCCCGATGACAACGCCTCCAAGAAGGTGTGCGGCGCCCACAAGCGTCGCCGTTGTCTGCTCCGGACAGAGCCATAGCAAGGCCTTCTCCCCGAGCAACCAAAGAAATCCCTCCTTGCGAACCTGCACACGAGAGCCACCGCTCGCCAGAATTGCATGTGTAGGGTGATGCTTGACTTTCTAGAATTACTAAAATCTACCCACAACTAAAATTAGGAAAAGTCTAGGTTTTTAATTGGTCAAGTAGTCTAATCACCCCCCTAGACATACTTTCAATCCTACATAAGGTTAACAAGCTCTCTCGTACAACAAGGTTTACTCTTATCAATTTTATTTTGCTTCTATTCTGGCCTACTATAAGTCCAACATTATTTTCCCTAAGAAACTCATCGCAAAACTCACAGCCATCACCAGGAACTTTTGGTGGACGGTCATTAGAAAGGAGCCTAATACCAAATTTCTTTCCTCTCAGAGCTTGGACGAAGGACATTTGCTCTCCTAAAAGGGAATGAGGATTAGGGGTTAAGAATCTTCAGTCTTTGAATCAAGGCTTAATTCTTCATGCAACTTGGAGGATAGCTGAAAATCCCAATGATCATCTTCACCAATCCTCAGATCTAAATATTTTCATGACACCTCCTTCTGGAAAGTCAATCCCTCTCTTCCCAAATCTGCCTTTTGGGCCTCCATTATGAAAGTCAAACCTATGCTCTAAAGTCATGCTTTCTATCAAATCACCCAAGGCAACATATCCATTTGGAGCACACCCCAGTGTCCCATTTAGCACTCAATCCGTGATCACCTAATTAACCAGCACAACCAATACAGGTACCATGCACTCGTCAAAGATCTTTGGGTTCCAAATCAGAAAATCTGGAATGACGAGCTCATTGATGCTCTTTCTGAGCAACCTGCACCTAACATCATTAAAAGCACTCCCATTATCCAAGGTAATGACAAAGACATCCTTTCCTCTTGCTCCTACAGGTAAATGTAACTCTAAGCCAACTTATAAATTTGCCTCCAAGGGATGCGGGAATAGGGTGGGCCTAAGGCCCAGACTGGTGAACCCTCAGGTTTAACTCATTCTTCAACGGGTTTGGAAGAACAAACAAATGGTTCCTAGGGTTCAAGCTTTTGCTTGGAGAATCCTAAGGAGGGCTATTCCCAAAGGCAAAAGAGCTAGCAGGTTTTCAACTCATATCAGTAAGTTATGCTCTCAATGCAACCTGGAGGAGGACAATCTACATCCGTTCGTCCTCTGTGACTTTGCTAGGGCAGCCTGGTTCTTTAAAAATAAAATGTGATTACTCTCTATTTCATCTTGGAGCTTGTGCAAAGGTTGCTGGTTACTCTACATACAACTTTGCTCTCTCTCTCCATATTTATTACATGACGCATCATCACTATGTCTTAGGTGGCAAATTTACCAACACCTATCTTACAACTGTTAGAGATGCCCTTAGCAACCATAAGCTAAGCACCTCATCTAAGCACCCATGCATTGGCAGCAGCCTTATTGGTCTTGATTACCGTGTGATGTGCCACAAATATTTTTTTCTATTCTAAAATGCACTGAGAAGATAGAAATACATTTTTAAAGTCAAACATACGGCTTTCACCGGACAAAGGGTGTACCGGTAGCTTAGCTAAAAACAAAACCACGCACGCATGGCGAGATTTTCAAAGAAAACGCAGGGGACGAGACTGAGAGGCGGGCCCGTCTCACAGCACGGGCGCGAGGTGGCCCCCACATGGCAGCCAGTGGGGATATCTCCTAATTAGGTACAAATCACCTCCGAATGCTATTTGTGAAATATCCGAGGGTTCAGATTCACAGTGCCCGATGTGTTTGGACACCAGGAATCTATGCGCTCACCCGTATGTTCTGAAGGACAAGTACCTTCGCCTCAGGCTTTCGCGAGGATTCAAAGAAATTATGGTATGGTTTTAAAATTTCCAACTTATTAGACATACATGTATGTTTGGTTAAGTTGTGATAATTCACGGATGTGAATTTTAATACACAAATGAAGATGGATTTCATGATTGGTTCATAAGTATAAAAGCCCCTCCATGAGGCGAACATAAATCATGTTTTTAATAGAAAGTATCTAAAAATAGATATACATGACTAAATTTGGTAAAATGCCAATAGTAGCCCCCTGCTACATTTAGAACTTTGTGCTACATTCACTACTTAGTCTGAATTTAGATGTCATGAGTAACCTATGTATAATTTGAAGAAAATTCTTTTATGTTTATGATATAGAGA